AGTGGCAGCCTGGGCAGCTTGTTGCTCCTTGGCTTGTAAATTGACCAGAGAGACTCTGCCAGGCTTGTCACCAACATTCCTCTTGGAAGTTTGCTTTGTCCTTGCCATGGTAGTCCAGCAGCACAAGGTCAGTACCATGCAACCAAATACTTGGGGGAGGGAGACAATGACAGAACATGGGTAGACCCCAGCTGACTTGGAATATGATGGAACAAGGAATGGAATTATCAATATAAATGTGTACACTTCTAGACAAGGAAGACAGGGGGAAAGTAGGTAGGATGACTTACTTTATGTTGTGTATGACACAGAGGGTGGTTGGAGGGGGAGGGATCAGCTAAGAAGACCTGTCAGCAACCTAGGATGAATGTGAGAGGCAGCATAGAACTTACATACCTTGTTTTGGCTTGGAAAGAGTGGGTGGGAGGAGGGGGGGAGACAACAAAGCTAGATGGAAAGGAAAGTGGTGAGTAGGGGGGGAGATGCACCTGGAAAAAAAAAATACATACTTTTGTTTTTGGGTGGACAGTGCTGAGAAGAGGGGGCACCAACACCCAAGAATTACAAAGTTAGATGAAAACAAAAAAGATTAGTGAAAGGTTGTGGAGAAAGCAATCATGTACCTTTTTTTTTGGTTTGGAAAATGAGGAGGGGAAGAAGGGGAAGGGGGGGACACAGCACTGAGAGCACACAGCTTTTTTTGGTGTGGAAAGGTGGCAAATGGAGGGAGGGGGACAGTCGAAAGGGAAACAGTATTTACAAAGCTTGGGTGCAACCACTCAGGCTGTTGTGGCATGTTTGATGAGGTCACATGACAGGTGAACAGGGGAATGAGACACTCATGGGGATGTGTGGGGGGATAAGCAATGTCATTGTGGAACTGAATGTTGGATGCTGGGTCAACAAGACAGCTGATTGGCAGTAGGGCCAATGTTGAATGCTCATTGGTGGCAGCCTGGTACTTCAGCTCATTCAAATCACATTGTGCCTGTCCTGGTAATTTGGATCCACCAATCTTTGTTCACAAAAAACTGTGTTCATCCATATGTAACTCCTACTGGCAATAGAAACTATGTAGATTATTACCAAAAATAGTTATTATCTCATCCTAGGGATCTGCTACATGCAGTCTCTGCTCCAGCAAACATGGGGGACAAGTGATTGAGTCACTGCTGATGGTCAGATGGGCAGGCCAATGCAACAGCCAATGTCACAGTAAAGCCAACATTGAATGTGGATATGTTGGTGGCTGCCCAGTGTTTCAGCTCATTCAAATCACATTGTGCCTGTACCAGTAATTCAGATCCACAAATCTTTGCTCATAAAAACTGTATTCATCCATATGTAACTCCTACTGACAATAGGCACTATGTAGATTATTACCAAAAATGGTTATTGTCTCATCCTAGGGGATCTGCTACATGCAGTCTTTGCTCTGGCAAACACAGGGGACAAGTGATTGGGCCACTGGGCAACAAATGGTCAGATGCTGGGCCAATGGGACAGCTGATGTCACAGTAGTGCCAACATTGAATGCAGATGTGTTTGTGGCAGCCCAGGTATTTCAGCTCATTCAAATTACATTGTGCCTGTACTGGTAATTTGGATCCACCAGTCTTCACTCACAAAAAGCTGTATTCATCCATATGTAACTCCTATTGGCAATAGTAACTATGCAGGTATTACTGAAAATGGTTATCATCTTGTCCAAGGGGATCTGTTACATGCAGTCTTTGCTCAAGTGTCCCAGACACACACAGGGCAAGGGATAAAGTGATATCAGTGAGGAACCAAATGCCTGATCTGGACCCTGAGTGGTGAATGTGTCACACTGGTGACACATGGTTGTTGACATTGAACTCCTTTGTACAGCCCCTCAGGTAGTTTTGCAGATTAGCAGCAGGAACTGTGTAGTAATCAATATTGATTGATCTGAAATAACAGCCTTTCTGCTCTGCAGTGACACATGCCACATGCCCTTGGCAAGTAATGACAAAAATTGTATACAACTCCAGTTGATCCTGGATGGCAAGTGACATTTGGTCATGTCAGTCACTAATTTTGCATACCAAGTACAATAGCTATTTAGGGCATTACTTGTCAGTAATAATGATAAGTTGATTAGGAGATCTAGGCTAGATCAGCCAGTATTCATTGAGTCCTATTCTTGGAACAAGAATATTGCTTAACATTGTGTTGTGAATGACAGATTGACATCACTTCATACTGAATGGTGACACATGACACATGATTTCACAATGACAATGGGCAGCCTAAGAGCCACACCTGCAAGTGGTTGTTTGGTGATCTTGGCATGTATGTATTGGGAATTGAATGTCCAGTGCAGTACTGAATATTCCAGTACAACAGCCTGGTGGCTAATTCACTCACAACTGACAGCATTTACCAATAGCATACAATGCACATGGCAAATAAACACAAACAACATGTTCCCTTATAAACCTGGCATGTGCACCAAAACCACATGTTCATCACTTTCTCTCCCCCCAATGATCCCTCCTGCCTCATTGCTCCCTCCTACCTCCCCCCCACCCTCCTCATCAAGTCCCTCATTGCATCTTTGCTCCAAAGGTTCATTGTTTTGTGTTCTTTCACTGATCCTCCTTGCCTTTGCAGATTCCCTCCTCCTTGAAAGTGTACTGCAGGCACTGGACAGGGGAGGGAAGTCCCTCAGTTGTCTGTTGTTCCTGGCCAGCATGACATCTGACTGGGGGACCTCTTGGGTTCTGGGGGTTTTTGTCTATGCTCACTCATGTGGGCTAGCAATATGGGAACTGGGGGACTTTTCATCTGTGCTCACTCATGTGGGCCAGCTTCTCTACTTAGGGTACTGGGGGATTACTGATGTTTTCTATTAGTTATGCTGTTTCTGTGATATCAGGTAAATGAAGTTCCTATTCATTTTTTTATGTTGCAATTGACTGTCTTTACTAGTTTTTATACTACTGCAGTTTTGGTGTTTTTTTACTTGAGGTATGTGTTCACCATTCTTCATTGAAGGAACTGACTCTATTGTACAGGTTACTGTGAATTTTTGGGGTTTTTGGTTGCATTTGAGGATGTTTTTCTAGAGATGTAACTGTACTCCTTGGGGAGGGCCCCCTCTGGGATGCAGGAAAGTCTCAGTTCCACTTGGAACTTTTTGTTTATGTATATTTTTTGCAATGTAACTTAGATTCATAAGTAGCACAATATTAGAATTGATTGTCTTTCTTTAAATATGGGGATTTCAGGTCTCTGTCAAATTTTTTCAACCCATCACTGCTCTAACCCTAACCCTAATGCAAATTGCCTAATTGGAGGTATAGGATTGGTTTCTTTTATGCAAGTCTTCTTCTAACCCTAACCCTAACCCTAACCATAATACAAATTTATGGTGTTGATCTTTTTGCAAGTCTTCTGAGTCTTTTAAATACATATGTTGTGGATATTTTTCCAAGTTGTGCAGTATTTTTGCCCACTGTCTACTGTAAACATCTCCCTGTAATGTATTAGTACCTTTTCCCTTCTAAATTAAAAATTGGGTATCAAGTACCAGTAGTGTGGTGCTGGTACTGCAGACCTAGAGACAAAGGCTTCAAGTTGATCAGATTCCAGAAGATGTGTCTAGTGAATTATTTCACAATTTGGGGTTTCATGTTCATATTGCATTCACTGCATATCTGCAGCACCCTGTTTCAATCTACATTTATGTTCAAGCCCTCAGGACTATTCATAATTGGCAGAACTAGAGGCTGGTCACTGCCACAAACCAAGTGCCAGGGAGTGCCTTCATGTGGGAAGGCTATGCCTGGAGACTGTGTGACTTCTGGATCCAGATAATAAATACTATTTTGATGGACACTGATAATACCCTGGGGCCTCAAGTTTGTTCATGAAGAACTGTATTCTTTGGTTTTGAGGGTATGATTGTTTGATTACAGAGTCAATGTGCCATAAATCTTTGATACTCAGTGCAACAATAAGAGGTGGGATACAGACCACATTCACATGATTCAGTCAACTGTAGTCTGCATTTTGGCTTAAAGCTGACCTCTATAGCTGCCATAGAGAAGTAAGAAAAGAAAGGAAAAGGGCATTAAGTGTAGACCTCACACATGGGTGGGGGAGGTCACTTGGTGACAATGCCTGCCCTCATTGGAATCTTTCTGGAACTTGCCATGTCTTTCCCACCCTTCAATTTTTTCATTCTCCACCTTTCTTCCCTCCTTCCTCCACCTAACCCAGTTCCCCTCATGGATCTCCAAATGTCTTTGACTGCTACTGTTTCTTCCATGCTTAAGACTGCATTTGGGGCCAACCCCAGCTTCTCATCTGGCACTGTGCTCACAAGGGACCATCTCACCAAGCCTAGGTCAGCTCCCTGCCTCCTCCTATCTCTCAAGCTTCTGGTGACATCTTCATAGACTCCAAGCCCTCTCCCTTTTGGCCAATACCCAAGCAGCCCTCCAACAACCCAATCTTCCTGATGATACCATCACTGCCCTTGAAGTCAGATTGGCTGCTGCTGTCATTTCCCATGCAATCCTGAATCCATGTAGGGTGACTTTCCCATCCAAAATAATTCACCTCTCACTCCTTGCAGATGTAGTTGATTGGGATGTTGATTGGTTTTCAAATCCTTTGCCTGGTGCCAAGGACAAGTTTATCTATTTTGAACACCCCAACATTGGCTCTCTAAATGCTCCAGCCACAGTTCTAGATAGGCATGGCAGGCTCCTGGTATGATATTTTCCAGGAATCATCCATGGTGCAAGGATTGTGTGTGTTTTCCCTTGCTATTGGCCTTTCTTTCACCTCTTTTCATACAGCAACTTCTCAATGAACTTCACCTTTCCATCAAGGACTCCCTCAGGTCAAAGTCCAAGCACAAGCCCAAGGACCTGTCCAGGGTTAACAAACATTATGGTCATAAACATCAACCTGCAGACTCTCCCATCTATGGCCATGGCAGGATCTCCATGTCTCCAGCCACCTTCATGCAGGCTCACCAGGTTGGCTACTCCCTCTCATCTGTTAAACTGTCACTGAGATCCCTGAAGAGGCTTGTGGACAATCTGGACCAAAGTGCTTCCCTCAAGAGGAAAGCTACAAGAAAATGGCTCCAGCTGATTGCCTATGTTGAAAAGTTCTGGAGTGACATTACAACAGTCATTTTGCCTGACCTTGCCAGGGCTGGCTCAGAAGTTGTCTCTGCAAAGACTGTCAGTGTGCTGAATGAGGATCCCTTGGACTGGCCATCTGTCTATACCAACATTGATGTCATTGTCAACCAGGAAACTCCTCTCCATGAAGATGCTGGCTCTGCCCTGACCCTTTTGGATTTGTTGGTCAGCTTGGGCTCCCATGATGCTAATTCCTTGGTGCCAGACTTGGGGGAAAAGTTTTTGTATTTGCCAGGCACCATGATTTTCTTGGCTGGCAAAATTCTCTCACATTCGGTTCCAAAGTGGGGAAGGGGTGAAAGGATTGCCATTGTACACTACATGAAGGACAGGGTGCATGACAGACTCCAGGTCACCAGGCCTACCTGGACTGTCCAGAGGGACATTATGTCTTCTGTTCTTAGCTATAACTAAACCTCCCTCCTGTGGTTCAGTATCTTGTTGTGTTCTATTTGCCCAATGAATTTTTTAGGCCATGTGTATTTTCTGGCAGTCCCTGACCCCTCTTAGTTTTCTACCATCATCTGCTTTTCACATGCATAGGAGAAAGTACAAGGTGCTGGGCAAACAGTCTGGCCAAAGTTCATTATATGCTTTTGAACCAACCAGGACCAGGAGAGGAAAGCTTACATACAAGGAAGTTGATGCCAGGCACCTGTACCTCCCCTCTCAGAGTGGACCTTCAACTCCAAGAACCCCCAAGCACTATAGCCTCCCAGAATGTCAATTTTTCTGATGTCTCAGACTCCCTTGAGATTCCTGGCTCAGACTGGAATGAAGGGGATAATGCCTTGAAGACCAGGAGGGTCACCAAGGTAAGTAGTCTTACCTAGTGGTACATGGGCTAAATAAAATTTCAACAGAGTCAGAATGACTTTATCAGAGAATGGCTGCCTTGGAGAACAGATTATATCAAAGTCATTCTGGAAGGAGAGCAGCTGGCTAAGGCAGGGATATGTGAGCAGTGCAGACAGGCAGAAGGAAGTATCTTGTGCATGTCCTGCTCAGGCATGCATGCCTGGTGTGGCCCCTGTGCTGTGGAAGCTCACCAAAATCTCCCCTTCCACAAGGTACAAAAGTGGAATGGTACCCATTACCAGACCACTTCCTTGATGGAACTTGGATTCCTTTGGCACATTGGCCATGGGGGTGGTCCATGCCCTTGCAATGAGGTGATTCCCATGCCCAATACAGATCCAGAGGATTTGGGCTACCTTTCTGGGGAAGGGCTGCCCAATTACAGGTCAGTGGCATTCATTTCCTGCAGCCTTCTGATAACATTTGGTGCCAGCAGGTCATCTTGGTCACAAATGACCATTGTGCACAATAAAGGAATTTTCACCCATGAGTTTTGCTGGTGCAGCTGCCCTGGGTCTGATTCTGCAGACTGGCACCTTCATTTACTCAGGGAAAGACTCTTTCCAGCCAGCATAACAAAGCCCAGAACTGCTTTCACCTTTGATGTCCTCAATCACTTTCTTATTGATGCTTTGGAGTGCAAGACCTCAGCTATGAGTTTCTATCAGGAGCTGAAGAGGTTCACCAATAATGCTTTTCCTGACAGGGTACCAGTTGAGTGCTATTTCCCATTGAGTGGCTTGCATTAATACTTTCCTCTCCATTCAGGACCAGTACTGAGAGCTGATGCAGGTGTCCTGACTGTGGAGGGATTTGAAACATAGGAAATGGTTTGGGTTTGGTCATGATTCTGAGCAAGATCCTGGGCAGGGAGGACTTGCACTCTTTTGCCCTGCTTGCCCACAACCAGGTATTGATTTACCTCCAGATTGGAGAACTCACTACAGCAGGTAAGGGGCTTTAATCCATAGGCATTCCATTTCTAACCCCCTTCAGTGACACTGTGATGAGGCAATATGTGATGGATGGCAACTTCACTGCACAGCATATGAAAATGAACAAGCCAGAGCTGGATGTGTCATTATCAGATGGAAAAGGCTACATGGTTTCTGAGGCACCCTATCAGAATCTTCTCCAGCAGTCTTTGGATAACAAGGAGGTAAGTAATTGGAGGCTTGAAGGCCCTGGAATATAAAAGACCCACCATACTGTTAGAGATCCACCTGCAGCAATCACAGGGCCATCAATGCTGCCAATATTAACAAGTCCAATCTCTGGTCCACTGGCATTGGTGCTACAGCCTGTGCAAGACATGGTTGCTTTGTTCCCCATTCTGTTGTGGATTTTCAAAAAGGGGAAAGGTGAGTTGGCTTCTCAGGCAGAATGGATGAGTTGGAGCTCACTTTGGGCCAGGTATATGAACACTGACTACTCCATCTGCAATGCTCTTGATTACCATTCCCAAGGCATCCAAAAGGCCCTTGTCATTTATGATGTAGGGTGCCAATGGAGTATCAACTTCTGGAGTTGGGTAAAGTCCAGCTGCTCTCTCACTCTTCCACCTGGTTTCCAAATCATTCCTGCTGTGGAGAAGTTTCATCTGGCTGCTCACAAACTCTCTTGCTTTCCATGATATAGCCTCAACTTTGTCAAGGGTGCTGGCCACCTGGATGGTGAAAATTTGGAGACATTGTGGACTCCATTCAATAAGATCTCTCCAACTGCAAGGTCTATGACTCAAGCCCACAGAAAAGAGGTGTATGATGATCATATGAGAGATTCTAACTGGAAAAAAATTGTGGGCATAGGTGAGAGATCTCCTCTTCAAAGAGAAAAGAGTTTACACTGTTCTTCTCAGCCCCTTCACTGCTAAGAAAATACAAAACTTCAACAAGTGTCTGGAGGAAATGAATCAGGCATATGAGCAGTTGACAGCTGTCCTAGACCCTAGTAAGGTTACAGGATGGGAATTGGATGCTCTAGAGGCAGGGGCAGACAGAGGGGAGGCCCTAGATATTTATTTGTTGAAAGGGGAGAAAGGTCAGTCAGTTTATCCCAACCATAGGCCTGTCTGATGATCTGTAGCCCCTACCATGGGTGAAGTCCAGTTAAAGTTAAAGCTCATGAAAAATCCACCTTCATCCTCAGGAAACCTTGGTTCTGTGGCTTAGCTTGCAGAAGGAATCAGCATAGAGGATGCACAGTAAGGACTGTCATTCCCTGAGGTGATAACTTGCTAACCAGACCTCCTGCAGAGACCAGCTAAGATCTGAGCTCCATCAGCTTCCCAGTCTCATGTCTACCAGACAAGAAGTCAAAGTCTCTGAGAAGAGACAGAGACTTTCTGCCAGAATTGAGAAATTCAATGGCAGGGGACAAGCTTTTCTTGAAGGTTTGGAGGTAGATGAAGTTTTCATTTCCCAGGATGATCCAGCATTCCTTGGGCAAGAAGAAGTGGAAGATGAAGGAGAGTTCTGGGAAGATGGTGAGGAGGACTGGGAGGCTGCAGAAGAGGAAGGAGACTTGGCTGCTGAAGTCATGAGTAAATGGATGCCCTCATCCATTGGAGCAGCCAAACTGACAGAGCATGGCCTTCATGCCCTTCTCAAAGAAGAAATGGAACTCAGGATTGGGCAAGCTAATGATTGTTTAGAGGGGCTTCAAACTGACCTGGGCAACAAGGCAATGTTATATTGGCAGAATTTTTAGAATGCAAATTCCACCAGGGAGGGTACCAGAACCAAGAAGGAGATCCAAAAGGTGGTGTCCAGAATAAACAAGCACATCAGAAGTTATCAAAGGTCAAGGCAGGCCATTCTTCAACTGGAACCTGATATTAGCATCAGAGAAAAATATCAGGAAATTCTTCCTCAGGACCTTGCAGTGAGTAAAGAGGTGACAGAGGAGAACAGGTTTGGTCAAGGGACCAGTAAATTGGCATGGTTTTGGATGATGGAAGGTGAACAGGGTCAGAGGAATGTGGACAGTGGGGGCTTGATGGAAGAGTGTAAGTGTGAATATTGCATGGCAGTTTATAGGATCAATTGGCTCAAAGAAAGGGCAAGAAGGGACAGATGGAAAGAAGAATTGTCATTGGTCAGGCATGAGATGCTTTGGACCACCTTATGGTTTGAGTTCCAGAAGAGCATATGGGAGAAAAGGGCAGGGCAATCCATTGAGCCAGGGATGGAAGCTTATGCTAATAAGCAGATGGGGTTGTGGGGTGACTTTTCCAAAAAGGCCAGGTTGATGTTCCAAGGTAAAGAAATAGATTGTATTTAGAACAGGGGTATATTCCAGTCTACAGTTGCCTTGGAACTTGGTATCTGGTTCAGAGTGAAGAGCAAAGATGTCAAAACAAACATCCCAAAATGGTAGTTTCCCTCAAAGAATGATGGCTGGCAACAGCCTACATTTTCAACCTCCTGCCTAAATTAGGAAGGGCCTGAAATTTTCATCTTGCCACTGCACTCCACAAATCCTCTACTGCCTTATTCACCTCCTGTAATGACCAGTAGACTTTTTGCTTTCATGTTTCCTAGTTGCCCATATATACCCACCCTCTGGTTAGGGTCATGCTTTAGGGGATGCTTAGTCATCTCAGACTTTTCCTTTTGCTTATGCTTTCATGCTTACATGATACTTAGTAAGGCCATGCCTCATTGCTAACACATGTATGCATTAGACCAATAGCATAGTTCTCTCTTTTATTTACTTCTTTCTCAAACATTCTCTCATGGCAGTATGTACAAACAGTAAGGCAGTATATAAGTCCCATCATTTGTCATAGTCACACTCTCTAATCTAGTTCATTTTGAGCTTGTTCTCAATCAATGGGCTCCACTTCCAAACTCTCTGGTTTGAAGTGATAGCTGAGAAGACCTTCATCTTTGGTTGCTTCACTCAAACTAGATTACTACTTCTCCCCTATCCCTTCCTACCTGGTGCTGAGGGTCAATGGCAGTATGATACTTGTAGTGGGCAGTCCCACCCATAGATTCTTTTTGCCTCCATCAGTGTGACTGAGAGTGCCCAAGTGACAGATCCAGTTGGGCAAACATCTTAGGGAGTTTTACTCTACATATATACACCATCCCAAGGTTGAGCTCAGTGAATGAAGGGCGATGCTTGGTCAAGAGGACCCACAAGGTCCAGAGCAGCTGAGCCATAAATAGTCATAGTTCCCACACAGCAGCAGAGGTAGACCCATAGTCAATGTTCTTGTACCCACCATAGTTTGCCTAGTGTGCCAGGCTGGTCCTTCCCTGTTGCTAGGAAGTTGATCAGGCATGTGACAGCAAACAAACTGCATGTTTAGTGGTCCTGAACACCATCAGTGAGTAATACATCTTATGTTACCATATCACCTCCTACTTTACCACCATTCCTGCCATCAAGAAGGAAGAGGTCAAGCTGTTGGTGCACATTAATTATATTTCTTACACCAGTAATATCTTACATAAGCACAGTCATTTCAGCACATTGTTTTTCCTTTGTGCACCTCAGTCTTCTCCCAATAGAAGCCTGAGTATCTTCTCTTGTTAGTCAGTCACTACTTGGAAACACCCCTTCAGAAGGTTATGAGCCCCACTCAGCTCTAACCACTGCAGTTTTAATTCCAGTCACTCTCTAGTTCTACAAGGTTGTGCTAAACAATGTCAAATCCAACTCTGTCTATCTTGGTTGGTCCTCAGATGGGTCCTTCTACTGCTACAGTACTACTCTGTCATCATCTAGGACAAGCATGTGGAGTGGATGATGAAAGATAGGGAAGCCAGTGTGCAGATTACCCTGACACTCAAGGATGAGCCTCTGAGTGGGGTCATGTATGCAAAAACTGCATTGGAGACCTGGAAGTGCCTTAGTGAATGGTATGAGGGCAAAGGGAAACAGACAATTACCTACCTCATTGGAGAACTTTTTTGTGGAACCCTTGTTGATGATAGCCCAATGGAGACTCAGCTAAATGACAGAAGGCACTCATACTGAACTTGCTTGGACAGACTCTTGATGAGTCACTGGTTGCAATTGTGATGGTGATCTCCTTACCTGCTTCATGCTTGGTCCTTCAAACCATTCTCATGTCAACAAACAACAAG